GGGAGGTAGAACTGCTTCTGGGCCCGCTCCTGCAATGAGAGCGGCGTGGGCGCGTTGGTTCGGCGGCCTCGGGCGCCGAGCGCGTCCTGCGGCCTCGTCCGGCCCAGGGGGAGCCCCGGTGCTTCCGGAGCCCCCGCAGTAGCCAGAGTTCCTTGATGCCTCACAGGACAAGGGCTGCCAGCTCCCTGGCAGGCTGCCAGGGCAGAGCTGTGACCAAGCATCACACAGCTCCTTCTCCCCAGGGCTCCCTTCCAGGGACGACAGTTTCCCTCCCCCCCCGTTTCCTCCCTCATCAATGCATCTTCCTCCTCTCCCCAGGTCAAGGGCAGCAATGCCAATCTTGTGCCAAAGCCCTTTCCCCAAAATGGAGCTCACTGCAAGCCAGGTCGTGCTCTGGCCACCCACGGTGACACAGCACAGGGCCCTGCCCCACTGCAGGGCAGGAGGCAGGAGCAGGTAAAACATGCGCTGCAAGTGGGAGCAAAAAAGAAGGGCCTGTGGGAGCCAGCAGGATGTGAGGGGCTCCAGGAGGGAGGGGAGAAAAGGAAAGGAAAGGATGGGGTGAGAGGCTGGAGCCAAGTCGGGCACTCGGGGCTCAGCCACAGGGGCTTTTGGGCCAAATCCTGCCAACTGATTCCCCAGTCTGAGTGTTGCCCAGCTCCAGTGCAGGATTCGTGAGCCAGGACGTGGTGCTCTCCCCATGCTGGAGAAGTTATAACGAGCGAGCAGAGCATCCCAACACCCAGCAGTACCCAAGCCTCATGGTAAGCCATGGTCTTACCTCGCTGGCGCCCGGCATCCTCAGTGGTTTACAGTGATGCCCAGCTTGATTTTCTCTTCGTTTTCTACATCGTAGACACCCCTTTTGTGGCACCTGTAAGGCCAAGCCAAGAGATGTTCATAGCATGGAGTGGCCCCTGCCACCAGGCCCTGCCCTGAGCCCTTCCTGGGGGGTGGCTCTGGCAGAACAGCCCGCACGCTGCTCACCTCAGCATCAGCAGAGCTGCAATGATGACAAGACACAGTGAGGACAGGACCACAGCGACAACAGCCAGTGCAGTCGTGTGGTCATATGTGCTGGGGGGATGCTCCACGGGGAGCAAGAGTCCATGACATCTCTCACCATGATATCCCGGCTGGCATCTGGGCAAGAAGGAAAGAGCATTAGAGAATGGTGGGGACAACAGGGCATCAGGTCCTTTCTGCCACAAGGCAGCAGAGCTACCTCCTTGCTCAGCTGTGAGCCAGAGTCCTGCACCCACCCTGGGCCAGGAGGTCTGGTGTCCCTCTTGTCTCCCTGGTTTACTGGTAAATTCTCTTGCCCCACATCCCTGTCCCAAGCACTGCATGAGGATGCCCAGCAAAGCCATGTCCTTCCTCCCAGGGCAGGGTCACGACTCTTCCCAATCGCCTATGAAGTGGAGCCAGGCTGCTTGGGCCACCTCTGAGTGGCAACCAGCTCCATCACACACAGAGGTCAGACACAACAGGGCCTACAGGTGGGAACTGCTGAGACCCCAGCAGGCAAGACACAACTGCCCATGGCAAGCAAGAGGGAGGCACGCAGGCACCCATGGCACTGCCAGCCACCTGCTCTCTGCAATGACAAGTCCTGTGCGAGGAAGCATGGAACAGTCTCCCACCATGGGCTGGAGCTCACAACTTCCCTCTGAACAGGTTTCCCCAGTGCCTGGGGCCAGCCAGAGCTAACAGAGAAGTACAAGCTCCCTGCAGGCTCAGGAGGTTACTCATATAACAGAAATAAAGTTCCCCCTCAGAACCGCGAGGCAGCCACCCAAACCCTCCTTATGAGTCAACACCTACTGATGGGACCAGCTGAATAAACTCAGCACCACGGACCCTCGGCGGATCTGGGCAGGGACATGATCTTATCTCCGACGCATGGACTTGGGCCAGAGCCCCGGCCTGGCCCGGGGAGGGCTCCGTTAACACCATGCGCCACGCCAGCACCGCCCTCCGCACCAGGCGGCCGTCGTGCGCACACAGAGCCACCTCTCAGCAGTGCTCGGGGGCCTGGGCACCATCCCCAGCTCCAGCAGCACCGGGGGCAGCCGCAGGAAGCAAAGACCCCACACAGGTGGCACGGCCGGAGCCACCAAGGGCAGCCCGAGCGCTCCCAGCCACTCAAAGCTGTGACTCTAGGGGCAAACCCAAGCCAAGTGACATGTGTTTCACAGGACATCATTAGGGGAGGAGAGCAAGGCCTTGCAGAGCCCCAGGAAGGGCTGAGGCAGCCTGAGCTACTCCTGATGAGGAAAGCTGCAGAACTCAGCTCCAGAACCACTGCCCTGGGGACGCCAAGGGGAATGAGCCACTAGTCCTAAAAACACCAGCCACAGCTCCAACGGGAGAGATCCCAGAGGGGCCAGCAGTCTTGAGAACCTCAGCTGGCTCAAGACCCTCGGTCAGCACTCTTCCTGCTTGCCCTTGCTCGAAAGCTTCTTTTGACCCCAAGGAAACAGTGACTGCTCCCAATAGGAGCTTGGGAAGGGGATGCCCAGCTGTCCTGGCCCAATTCAGGTAGGATCCCGGAAGGACTGTGCTCTGCAGCATAGTGGGTCACCAGTGAAAGCCAATCCAGCAGAGATCTCCTGCTGGTAGTCCTGATTCCCCCTGCTCGAGGGCCCAGCAGCAGCATCGTGACAGCTTCCAGGCACAGCAGAACTAAGCGGTTCAAGGAGCTGTGCGGACCCTGATCCCTGCGGATTCCAGGGCGCAAGAGCTTCTGGACACTATAAGCTAAGGAGTTATTATCTTCCCAGGCTCCTGGCACAGGGCTGGGTGGCTCAGGGGATTGCCAGCAAGGAACAAAGCCTCTTACATCCACCAGCTCAAACCCTGCCCACGTCAGCGGGGATCAAACTTGCACCCACGGGCATTACCCTGGGCAGCAGCAGCTGGATCTGGGTGCCCAGGCAGCGAGCAAACCTACTCTCTTCCACCTCGTCCAGCCCCTGCTCTCTTCCTGTAGCCCCAGAGCAGTCTCACGCCTTGGCAGTGCCCCTATATGAGAGCCACGTGCCACGCACGGGACAAGCGGCCAGTACCCCTGCCCTCGCCCGGGTGCTTTCATAGGTGCACCGCCTGCTTCCAACCTCTCTCCCCAGCTCACTAGCAAGCCATGGGGCCCAGCAGCTTCCCAGCTCTTGGCAGGGGCCCCCAGAATATGGGACAGAGCAAAGGACGCGAGATCCTCTCCCGGCTCAGGAACCCGTCCAGGAAGACCTGAAGTTGGCCTCAGATGCAAGACTCGCAGCCCATTTTAGGACAGATACTTGAAAACCGCTGCGGACCCAGAGCAGCAGGATCAAGGGGAGCCAGCTGCACCCTGGCACGGACGCTGGCATTCCCAGGAACTCCTCCGTGGCGGGAGCTCCCTACGTCACAAGCCTGCCTGACATCCCATGGGCCTCCCAAGTGCTCCAAGTCCCAGGCCATGAGGCATTTCAGTGGCACTCGTTCAAAACGCAGAAACCAGGCCAGAGCAGAGGCCACAGGTTCCCGCTGTTCTCCAAGCGGCGCAGCTCAAGGAGCACATGGAACACCAGGTCAGCGCCGTCGCCACGCGGATGGGGAGCAAACACTAAAAATATCCCCTGGGCTCTTCCTCTGCGCAGCCCAGGGAATTCCAAGAACAATGGCTAAGGTTTCCCGGGGCCGGGCATGCCGCAGTCACTCACATGCAGGATGGAGCGCCCAGCTCTTTGATGTACTTGCATTCCCCGTGAATGCAGAAATCCTTGTACTTTCGCAGACACGGGTCTCTCTTCTTCCCCAGGCCTTTTCCTTTTCTTCTTTTATTCCCATTCCCCTTTTTCTTGGGAGTAACCAGGCCTTGAGGCTTGGACAAGAAAGCAACTGCAAAACAATTTCAAAAGGAGAAAACACCGATCACTTCTCATTTGAAAGCAAAAGAGCAGCCAGCTCCCAACTCTGCAGCCAGCTCTGCCCTGGCAGGCACGCAGCCTTTTGTTCAGCA